CTTCCAAAGAATGCAACCGATTGCTATCAGAGAGCTTTAAGAATCAGAATGTCCGACGGTTGACATGTGATGGCATTCCCCTGCTATAAAGCACAATGCATTCTCGCAGCAAATCACGTTTTCATACATCAAATCGAACATTGCTGAACACGCCGCACGAAATGACAGACTCTCATAGGTCGCCCCAGCCACGCCACCTTTCCCCCTGCGCTGCAGCGATTGCAGCACGACGTCACAGATTTCTTAGCAGCCGTTCCAATAATTGTGTAAGATTTCGGAACGCGAAACGACAAGTTCAGCGATTTTAAAGGATCAAGAAATAGTAAGGGAGATAAATGGAATCAACCAGAACTGTATGAGGGTTACAAGTACAACTTAGATAACCAGAAGGTAAAATTTGATGAAGCTCAACAACAGCCATGCCAGCCGAGGTCGAAGTGAAAGCAGCAGAAAAAGTCGATCCGGTTCACAAAAGAACCCGGCCGAACACCGCCAGCTAATGCTGGCTTGCACGTTTGCAAATCGAACGATGGCCGCATCAGCAGCGGCCAGATATTTGTCCACATGCTGACCACATGCCCAGCACGTGCACAACAGCTCAGAATGTTCCGATCGTACGATGCAAGTGGTCAGATATTCAAGAATTTGACCAGCAGCAATCATAGTTGACCGGACAGCAGTTCTCGTAAAGGGCGGTTGCACTATTGGTGGCACGAGAACCACGCGGTGAACAAAAAAACTGGCCGCGTGTGTTGGTTGAACATTTGGACTGATCAGCAAACGGATGGGTGCCAACAGAAAGTGATAGGGCTGCCAGAGGCGAGGGGGCGGGCTCGGCGGTGGGAGGAGTCTAATGAGTCTTGCAGTGCGCTGATCCCTGTAGGCTCGATCGTGGTTAGATGGTCCGAAAGCGAACAGTCTGACGTATGCTAAGCAAACACTGTAAAGGAACAGGTTACCAGTATCGGCAGTGACCATGCAACAATGCCACACGTGCGTGAACTAAAGTTCTGAGTTCCAAGCAGAAACGCCGTCTTTCCTTTGTCTATTGTTCTTCAGCTGAGTTTTACACTGATTAGACACTGAAAAGGGTGACCGTGGGATAAAGAAGCTTACTCGGCAGTTTGCCTGATGCAGGCCAGAGGTCTAGAGTTAACAGGCCACCCTTGGTGAGCCAGCCTTTTACCGATAACCTCATGATCTCTGATTAGACAGCTTTTTTCCATAGTCCTGAGATAAAGAAACCTGGCAGGAAAAAAACAGTTATTGATTTTTTACCGCTCGAACATTCCGGGTCAAAAGACAGCCTACAATTTTATAAGCGCAGCTCGAGGTGCTCAGCTCAGGGTACAGCATCGACATGGATAAGGTTAAGAAGAGGTCAGGAAAGCAGCTGAGATGCAGAATCGACAAATGCGCGTGAGGAGGGGTGGTCGTATTTGAGACGGGAAAAAATAAGGATAGGAAAAGGCGAGTAATAGTTGATTTTTCTCGCTTGACGGAGGATGTAAAGGGAGGGAGGGGGTCGTATTGTCTCGCGGCTTTTCCTGTTTCACATGTGCTACTTACAATTTTCGAGAGAACTGTATTCATCTTGTATCGGTACGGCACCCCCTCCCCGAGTCTCCTTATCCCAGTTGGAACTAGCTTAACCTACCTACGCTACTGCCAATTTTCCCAAAATTTTACACTCAAGCGGGGAGGGGGAGTAGACAGTTTCGATAAGCTATCACTGATAGTATTTTGCCGCGATCGGCGGGGGTGTGGGGGT